TTAATATTTTTTACTTGTTGCTGTTATTATAGGAGCTTTAGCCATGAACCTAGCTACGAGCAAGCAAAGATATCTCCCCAACACCATACAGGGCCACAGGACCTGGGCTCCAAAGGGGATGTGTCTTCACTAGAGCTATAGCAAGAGCCCTGCCTAAGTTATAAGTGATGCCACTGCCAGGGCATCTTGAGCTCCTTGTGCCTAAGGAACAGAAAAGGTGTCCCTGAGCAGGAATACTTGACTCTTGACTCTCAGGAATGCGTGCCTGCTGTCCTACCAGTGGATTAGGGAGTAATACATAAAAATGTGGGCCACTTGGACCTAACTTGGCACTCTTAGGCTCAGTGTGAGCAGCTCCAGCATGAGAAGGGCATAATGATCAGGTGGTTAACTCCCTTCCCAACGAGGGTTGGGGCCAGGCCAGCTAGGAAGCCACCAAAGCCAGCAGAGGGCAGTGGCTATGGGTGAGAGTGTCCTAAAATGAATAGTAGAAGAGGCAGAGAACGTTCCAACTGCATCTCTGAGATCAGTGCAAGAGTGAGGCCTGAGTTCCTACAGGAACCTCACTCCCCTGGGAGAGGCCTGAAGGAATCTGGAAGCATGCTCACCAAGCATGTACTTCAAGGAGGGGCTAGCTGCTGCAGCGGGAGACAAGTCCCCAGATGGATCCAGCCCTTAATGACTTCAGGCTTTGCCTTATCTGGAGCAAGCCACTCAGTCCCAACTCATATCCTTCCAGAATCACCCTGCAGTTGGTAACTGAGTGAGGCAGGGGCCTAGAGGCCCAGCCATCTCTACCCATGTCCCTGTTAGCCTCATGCGCGTGTTTTCCATCTCTCTCTGCTCAACCTTGCTTCCTCCCCCTTTCATGATTGTTGATCCCTAATAAACATCTGGCTCCCTAGCTTCACCTTAACATCTCCTACCAGTAGACTCAACTGGGCAGAATGCCTTATAGCATGCTTCTCATAGCCTATAACCTCTCTCTGCCTCAAGCAGATGAACTGGAGCCCTCTTGCAGACAATAGTTCGTTTACTTTAAATTAACTTGCTTTTATGTATGAGTGTTTTGCCTGTATGTACATACACGCACCACATGTATGACTGGTGCCTTCGGAGGTCAAAAGAAGGCATTGGACTTCCTGAAACTGGAGTTACAGTTGTGAGCCATTATGTGAGTCCTGGGTGCTGATCCTGCACCACCTGCAAGAGCAAGTGCTCTTAACGACTGAGTCATCTCTACAGCCCCAGCAGTTGATTTATTAAACAGATCTTAATATATACCCAAAGGTAATGTTTTAAGGTAACCCATGTTTGGGGGGAAAGTCCTTATGTTACATATATATCTATGTGTGTGTGTGTGTGTGTGTGTGTGTGTGTGTGTGTGTGTGTGTATTTTGTACTCATTACAACCACATAAAAGTATATCATATATTTTGAAAAGTTGATTATCTCAGAACCAGAAATGCCCTTCAGGCTCTCTACTGACATAACTCACATTTATAAATGTCAAAAGCAGCTCTCCAGATTTTGTTCTACTTCAATATATGAAGGAGAGATGTTGCTTTCATACAATCTCAAGTAAGTTTGTATTTGAAAGAAAACATCTTGTGTTGTAATTGAAAACGTTTTAATGAAAAGATCCTGAGATATATTTGTCAAGAATCACTTCAGAGGCTGCAGTGGTGATGTAGCTGTTTTCAGTGCCTGCTGGTTCCACAGAAGATCTCAGTTCTGTTCCCAGTACCCCTGCCATGTGACTCACAACAGCCTGCAAGTCCAGTTCCAGGGGATCCAATGCCCTCTTCTTGCATCTTTGAGTACTGATGTTCACATGCATGTACCCAAACACATGCACACACATACACGTAACTGAAAGTAAAATAAAATCATAAAAACAAATTTAAAGAACGAACGGGATATGATTCCTTTCTTGTCACTGAAAGACTTACCAGGAAGTCAAAGAGGAAGGGGGAAACATGCAAATCCTGTACATAATTAACACATTCTGAGCAGCAGGGATCTTAGATCACAGCATTGTTTTTTTTCCTCACAAGCTAATTAGCTTTCAATGACAAAACTTTAGAAGGAAATGATTCCAAGAGAAGAAAGTAAATATTGTATGAAAAAATGATGAATAATTTGGAATGGTAAAATTTTGAGATCCCCAACACTACAACAAAAACTCATCAGAGTCCTGGTTGCCTGGCTGGCTTTTGTTTTTTGTTTTTCCTGCCAATGCTGGCACTAAACTTACAGAGCTGTTGATTTGGCTTCATATTTCAGTTGTTTTTATGTTACTATCACAGTTCATCACCACAGAACAGGATGCTGTCTCCTTCATGTAGATCAACTTACTCGTCACACACACACACACACACACACTGCTCATTTTAGCCACCTATGAGATGGCTAACTCAAGTTGAGATCAGGTTACAGTATTAAATTAGTTTGTTTGAGAAAGTTAATATATACCCAAAGGTAATGTTTTAAGGTAACCCATGTTTGGGGGGGAAAGTCCTTATGCTACATATATACCTGTGTGTGTGTGTGTGTGTGTGTGTGTGTGTGTGTGTGTGTATTTTGTACTCAAAAAAAGACAATGCTGTGATCTAAGACCCCTGCTGCTCAGAATGTGTTAATTATGTTCAGGATTTGCATGTTTCCCCCTTCCTCTTTGACTTCCTGGTAAGTCTTTCAGTGACAAGAAAGGAATCATATCCCGTTCGTTCTTTAAATTTGTTTTTATGATTTTATTTTACTTTCAGTTACGTGTATGTGTGTGCATGTGTTTGGGTACATGCATGTGAACATCAGTACTCAAAGATGCAAGAAGAGGGCACTGGATCCCCAACAGGCTGGGTTGGAATCTTAGATCTACCACTTACTGTTGTACCTGTTTAGAGAAACCCCCAGAAACCACCAAGGAGCCAGTTTTCAATGCAAGCACATACGGGTCCTTTTATTGTCAGGTTTGAACCTGGGCCACCACCAGGCAGATGGAGGAAAATTCAGCAGCTGTAGGCACAGGGGTAGAGAGTTTTTATAGGGAAAAGTTGCAAGCTGGGAACCACAACCTTTGGCAACTTGGGATTGGGTAGAAGGGATATGGGGCAAAGTGGTTTTTGAAACTATTGATCTAGACTTTTGTCACAAAACCATATTTGAAACTATTGGGTTGGACTTTTGGTGGGGAACCACAACTTGCTGAGCAGGATTATCTGGACTGCTCAGCAGGATTATCTAGATATCTTCAAGGGCCATGAACTGCAGACAGAATGTCTATAGGAGCATACTGCGCTGTATCTGTTGGAGTTGTTATGGCACATTCCTAAAGTCCTTACTAGAACTGAGTATAGCAGGTGGTCTAAGGTGGGGTCTGTATTGCCTTCACATTACTGATTGTGTGATATTGACTAAGTCATTCATCTTTGAGCCCCAGTTTCTTCATCTGAAAAATAATTGGCAATCAATGCACACCACACAAGTCTGCGATATGGAATTGTGTGACACATTGTTGTGTGTGAACTTTTTTCTGAGACAACATGAACTAACAACTACAACCCAGGTAGAAAAACAACAATAGAAACAAAGAAATGATTCTACCCATGTGTAGCTTGGTGAACCAATGATTCTAACAGGTTGCTTATAGTAGCATGGGTGAGGGGGTGGTTATTTACAGAACATGGGTAACTTATGGGTGATTATACCACTAAAGAAAATGTTTCTGTCTCACAGGAAGTGTTAACTGTCTTTAAATGCTTGAAGAAAATCAGGCTTCATTAGCTCCTCCCATGTTTCATGACAGAAAGTTAATGGGCCTAATGGTGTAAAGGTCTTGTGCAGGTAATCACAAGTGCTCAGAGTTCTAAATGACAACAGCCATTTCAAGTCAGGGGACACTGTAGTCAAGAGTTTTTCTGCAACCTGCCTGGCCTGCGGTCAGGACAAATCTCTCTCACCCACCAGTCCCAAGTAAACACACAGAGGATTATATTAATTAAAACTTCTCAAACATTAGCTCAGGCCTACCACTATCTCTTACACTTAAATTATCTCATAATTCTTATTTATGTTTAGCCATGTGGCTTGGTACCTTTTCCCATTTCTGCCTTCACATCTTGCTTCCGCTGTGTCTGGCTGGCAACTCCTGACTCAGCCTTCCTCTTCCTACCATTCTCCTCTCTGCTTGTCCCACCTATACTTTCTGCCTGGCTAACTGGTCAATCAGCACTTTATTTATTAATCAATCAGAGCAGCACATTCACAGCACATAGTGTGATATCCACAGCACTTCCCCTTTTCTTTTTTTTTTAAAGGAAGGTTTTAACTTTAACAGTAAAATTACATACAGCAAAACAATTATCAAGCAAGAATTACAGTTACAACATCTAGTCTATTTATAATATCTAGTCTATTTGTATTTGGCAAAATCAAAGAAGACATCTCATCCATCCTATATTTGTGAGTCTAAGGTTTTATATCTAACTTATCTTTTATCATAACTAAGGAAATTTAAACTATCTAGTCTTCAACTACATCAAAGACCTCAGAAGGATATAATATTACCTGAGAAATGGGAAAAGGACGCAAGCAACTTTTGGGAGTCTTGCAAGAGTAGACAGAAACAGCTGACAGCCTGGACAGTCATCCAAATTTCCTCTGTAAAGTTGAGGCATCTGTCTTCAGCCCACAGGCCTAGCATCTCTCAATCACTTCTTTCTGTGTCCTGTAGAATGTCTGGCAGTTTCCTCTGTGAAACAGGAACCTGAAGGACCATTTTGTAAGCAAAGTTCAGTGGTCACCTTTCTATGGGTCTTGCATGTCCAGTTGATCAAGCAGTCCAGACAAGAACAGTTTCTTGCCCAAATGGCTATTTTTGCCAAGAAGAAGATAAATTCCACATAGAGTGTCTTCGATGCCCATCCTCCTCTCTGAAATAAATCGGTGCTGCCAGGAGCAGACATGTCTCACTGTCCAGAAAGCCTAAATTTTTTTTTAAATTAATGCTTGACTCAGAACCTTGTTTTATTTAAATGTGTTCTTCATGCTACAATACAACCCTTCAGAGTCAATCAAATATGTAACGTCAACAGTTTCCTCAAAACTCTTAAAAACTCACAGCCACAGTCCTACACCTCTATAAGGCAGCTTCAGTATGCAAAAGATCACAACACAGTAATTGTGGAATTAAATCCCATTTTTATGCAAATCAAAAGAAAAGCAAACAAGAGTATCAAATATCAAACTACCAAAAGCCAGTGACATTATTCAGTATGTGTATTTCTCAACCCCTTAAACTTCATTCTCAACACTGGGGAGTTGCTCCCTGCCAAGTTTTTAGAGACAGGGTTTTTCTGTGTAGCCCTGGCCGTCCTGGAACTCGCTCTGTAGACCAGGCTAGCTGCTTCTGCCTCCATAGTGCTGGGATTAAAGTTATGCACTACCACCACTACCACTGCCTAGCCTTTTTTTTTTTTTAATTCCCCAGCAATTCTCATGACAGCTAGAGTTGGAAATCACTGCTCTAACAGAACATCTAATTAAGCAAAATCACGATTAATTCAAAAGCACAGCACAGGAAAATTGCAGGCACGTGGGGGATAGACTTAGAACCAACACACTCTACTTTTGAACAGTCTTTATCTCTTCTAAGGCTCAAAGATTACTAATAGCATAATTTACACCATAATCCTACCAACTACTACAGCTAGGGGCAGTAGTCAGCAGTAGGGTGCTTGTTCATCATGCAGGAGACTCTGTTACTAAAACAAAGACCCCAGAAAACACAACCTGGACAGAACCTTGTCAACTATCATTTATCATCCATCATTATAATACTATTTTTTGCTGAGGGAAGACTGAGATTTTTAGGCGTAAATAAGAAAGACACAGTCTCAGGGCACTGGAAGAGGGTGAGACCTTCTGGTGCTGGATTGCCCTGGTCCCATCCCGGAAAAAGCTAAGAGCAAAGGGTCACCTGTGGCAAGGGACTGAGCACTCAATTTCTAAGAGCCTTGCTCATTTGAGCTCACTGGTCTTCCTTCCCTTCCAATTTCAGATAACAGAAGACCAAATAAAGGGAGTGGGTCACGGAAAGTGTGGGCCCTTGTTTTTGACAGCAACAACTGTCCTTCACCATGGAGCCACTCCTGGATAAAATCATGAAGAGACCATTTCATTTTAGAGAGGTTCATGATATGTGTGCTATAGCAAAGGCTGGTTGTAGTGAAGTTTCACTTCAAACTTTCACTCATTGACAAATCAGACATCATTTTGGAATGTTTAACTTCTGCTAAAATGTAGATTTAACCCAATATAGTATGTACTTTAACATTTACTTGTAGGCCCTATATTAGAAGTTGAGGTTGAATTCATCACCAAAATGAGAATATTCTTACAGCTACTTCTAAGGTAATGAGCTACGAAATTAATTCCCTAGTATTGCTTTGAAAATATACCCCTAGACATTAAAAGAAATCCCAATTCCATCCAAGGCATTGTTTAACTTGGATTCTTCAGTCATCATCTACAGTTGGCTTAATGGTCACTCCTCTTCTTATCTGACCCCAACCAATTAAACGCCAATGTTTCTCAACTCTTCGGCTAAGGGCAATTTTTTCTCCCACTTCTGTGCACACAGGATTAGTCAAAACAATCTTGCCCAAATCAGCCTTGACGGCACTAACTCTTCCTCCCGTTGACAGGGATCCTATGTTGACCATAAGCACTTCATTCTTAGACAGCTCTTGGACCTTTGCTGCTTTCTTGTCTCCTTCAGTTCGGATGCCCAGAAGACGTCTAAGCAGGAAATAGGAAATTTCCAGTTCTGTGAATATTTCAGGCAAAGCTCCAACTGCACCAAGCACTTGTCCCACCATTCTGTCAGCTCTGCACAAAGTGGGGTCAATCTTTGTGTCAACTCCAATGAGGCCACCTGTTCCGCAAAAAGTGATACAATTTTGGAAAAGATTGGTTTACACATGAGTTTTCCTTCACTATCTTTGGAAACAATACCAGGCCTCACTTCTATCTCCTGGCCTACCTTTAACACTCCTTTTAGAATACTACCACCAGCTACACCTCCCTTAAGGTCATCAACTTCACAGCCAGGTTTGTTGACATCAAATGACCTGATAACAATGAGACGGGGTTCTGAAGTAAAGTCTCTTGGGGGCACTGGTATTTTCTTCACTATGTACTCACAGACAACTTCAATATTATATTTCAGCTGAGCAGAAATTGGAATAATTGGTGCTCCTTCTGCTACTGTTCCTTGTACAAATGCAAGAATCTGCTCATATTGTTCCTTAGCCTGACTTTCTTTTACCAGATCAATTTTATTTTGTAAGATCAAAATATGCTTGAGTTTCATGATTTCTATGGCAGCCAGGTGTTCAGAAGTCTGAGGCTGAGGACAAGATTCATTACCAGCTATCAACAGAAGAGCTGCGTCCATCATTGCTGCGCTGTTCAGCATCGTAGCCATCAAAATATCATGGCCAGGACAGTCAACAAAGGAAACATGCCTGACTAGTTTGAAGTTCCCTTTGGTCCCTGGAATGTCAGTAGGAAACTCGTCTGGTGTACTACTTCCGCATGACCTGTAACATTCTGATCTAGGACAACTTGGGTCATCAAGTTTATAAATCTTAGCATTAGCATATCCAAGCTTGATGGTAATATTTCTTTCTAGTTCAGTTTTGAATCTGACGGTGTGAACTCCAGAAATAGCCTTTACCACAGTGGACTTCCCATGAGCTACATGACCAATTGTACCAATATTAATTGTAGCTTGTCTGCTGATAACTTCATGTGAAAGTGGTGTCAACTTGGTGACATCCAATGTGGCGAGATCCTGTCGGGAAAGATGTGGCTGCCCGAGAGTCACTCCAACCTCACCCCCAGCCATCTTCCTCAATTTTTAAAATATTTTAAATGCCATATTTTGTAGGTCTTTGAAGTGTTTGAAGATTACCTACCTAATTGAATTATTACCTACCTAATTGAATTGAATATCTATGTATACCTAGAAAACATGACTAAAAGTTTGACTATCATAGAAGACTAATTATTAATCTGTATTTCTTAATTATCCATTACAATCTAAATGAGTTACATAAACATAATACCTCAAACGAGAATAGAAATATATATACAGTATAACAAAATTAACTTCAAATTTGTATCAATAAACTAAAAACTACAGCAATGTAAAACATTTCTAAACAAGTTGTCGCTTGTTTAAAAAAGTAGGTTCATTATTCGACCCCTTCATCCTATCATATCTAAACTATCCCTTTTCTTCTTTAGAAAGAGATTGCATTTATAATCAACCTGTTTTAGATAAAAATAAACATTCATAAACAATATTTTGAGAATTTGGGCATAGCTTCTCATACTACTTCCTGCTCCATGAGGGCATTGTATTCCTATGGGGACACAAAGCAAATTTTAGGATTACGGAGTAGTCTGTGAGGCTGTATTCTCTGAGCCATTTGCCTTGAAACCATTCTGGATGTTGAATCATCTGGGCCATGGTGTCATCGGAGACCTTTCAGGGGGTCTTGGCTTGTCAAACCTGATGTATCTTAATCTGGAACAAACCCATAGCCTCTTGATTCCTGTGGAAACAAAAGCAGAGCCTCCTTTCCAAAACAGCATATCCTTAGATTCAAATTTTGAAGTCAAGGTACCTTAAAAATATACATATTAGTTTAATTCAGCAGCCTTTACAATCAAATGTCTCTGCAGATAAAAATATCAAAGACAACACAATCCAGATTCTCTGTGTGATATCCATCTTTTTGTGGCTTATTTTTTATATTACTTTTACTTTCTCTTTAAAGACTTTATTTTTTAAAACTATCTATTTCTTTATATAACTGCATATATTTCTGTTTGAAGAAACTGCATATGGAGTTAACTATCATTGTGGCAGAGGTTAGCCACTGGACAACAAAGTGTCCTAGAATCAACTGCTGACAAACAGGACAAAATGGACAGACAGGACATGAAACAAAGGACACTGATTCTTGTTAAGACAAGTGTGGTTGTGGCTTTAGCATCAGGCATCCTCTGAGGCCAGGACAATATGGCACCATTGCTGAAGTGGCCTTTGCAATCTTGAAAAGGTACAGAGCCCCTTTCTTCGAAGGCAGCTGAACAGGCAGTGGACTGATGGCTTCTGATATGCAATGGAACAGCTGCTAAAACAGTTTTTTTTTTTGAGACAGGGTTTCTCTGTGTAGCTTTGTGCTTTTTCCTGGAACTCACTTGGAAGCTCAGGCTGGCCTCGAACTCACAGAGATCCTCCTAGCTCTACCTCCTGAGTGCTGGGATTAAAGGCATGCACCATCCCCCCACCCCACCCCCACCCCCACCCCCCACCCCCCCTCCCCGGGCTAACAGTTATTCTTGAAAGAGTAACAAGGCTGATGGAGTCCAACCTCTCAATGGTAGACTGGCATTTAATAAAAGAGATGAAGCTATCCACAAGCCAAGAAGAATGGGTTGTGGAGAAGAACAGAATGCTTAGATGAAGTCACCCACAAGCCAAGAAAAATGGACAACTGAATTAAAAAAAACATCAACAATTTCCAGAATTTAAAATCCTGAATCATGACAGGACACTAGTGGAATTCAGGTGTTTCTGGTACACGGACTGCTCTCACCCAATGTGAGGTTGAACTGTAGGCTTTGTGTATATCCTACTTCACAAATGAGTCTGTCAGATACGCTAAGCCTGTAGGCTGAAGATGATGCCCCAACACTGCGGAGAAACCTCGGGTGACTGTCCAGGCAGCTGGCTGTTTCTGTCAACTCACATTGTTTTTTGGAAGCCACTTGTGTGCACTTCCTGTTTTATTAAGTAATATTATTTCCTTCTTGCGTCTCTGAGAGAGTCGAAGATTAGATAGTTCTAGTTATAGTTAGTTGAAAATTAGATAGTTAGAGTTATAGTGAGTTGAAGATTAGATAGTTATAGTTAAAGATTAGATAGTTATAGTGTTCCTTGTTAAGAATTTCAGAAAAGAAACTCACTAAAGAGGTGTAAGTGTATAAATTTGTAAGACATTATAAGATAGCTCTGTTAGTAATATAAGTTAGAATAGAAAGTGAATCAGGTACATTTTGGACTTACCAAATAGGGTAGATAATGGAATATTTTCTCTGAGTCTGTCAAATGCAAATGGACTAGATATTGTTTAGGTATTTATTGCTTGTATATATTGTATATAGTTATTGCACTTATTATATATGGTTTTTCTTATATTAGTTATAACTTTTTTCCTTTTTCCTTTTTGCTAGAATAGAAAGGGGAAATATGGTGATATTTTATTTGTGCTGAAATGTGATTTTATTTGTTAATAAATAAAGTTGACTGGAGATCAGAGGTCAAATCGAGTCATAAGCAGAGACAGGCAGTGGTAACACACGCCCTTAATCTGATCAAATGACAGGCAGAGTCTCTGTGTGGTCAAGGACACAGCCAAGCTGGTGACATGAACCTTTAATCCCAGTATCAACTATAGAGACCTGGAGATCTGTATAGACAGGCACTTACGAGGAAGTCATGTGGTTGGGTTTAGAGCCAATGAGAAGGCAGAACAGAAAGGCAATAAAAAGACAAGTCAGACATTAGAAGCTCTCTCTCCAGGGAAGCTACTGCTGGTGGTAAGCTAAAGCTAGTCATGGCTCTTGCTCTGATCTCTTTGGCTATTAACTCTGTATTTGGCCCTGTGTTTCTTATTTAATAAGACTGTTTAGAAATTTGTCTACAGGACACTGTTCCATAGCACACATAATAGAATTTTGCAACTGGGACCTACCCGGTTGCTCAAGTGTAGCCAGAGGTCCTAGTGACATAAAGAGAATCTCCCAGGTTCTTTTCACTGTTGTATACCTGTTTTAATGTCAGTAGGCATGGTGTGAAAGGCAAAGGAGATGCTTCACAGATAACAGAATACATTCAGAGAAACCAGTGCAAACCCAGTGTACTAGTTATCCAACAAAAGCAACTTGAGGAAGGAAGGGTCTATTTCGGCTTACCATTCAAGGGTAGGCACAGTCTGTCATGGCAGAGAAACCATGGTGTCAGGAGCAGAAGGTAGCTGGCCACATTACAATCACAGTCAGGAAGCAGAGGAGATGACTTCTGGTGCTCGGCTGGCTTTCTCTGATTTTGTCAATCCAGGACTCCAGACCATGGAATGATGCTACCCACATTTAGAGTGGAATCCCCACCTCAGTTAACTCAGTCTAGAACTGCCTTCAGAGATATGCCAAGAGAGATTCATCTGCTAGGGGATTCTAGATGTTGTCAAGTTGACAATCAATGCCAACTATCACATCCAGTCTCCTAGGAAGTGACAGTCTGAGCCAGTGAAATATAGTGATCATCAAAAGACTGAATAGAATTCAAGGTGTGTGTGTGTGTGTGTGTGTGTGTGTGTGAGAGAGAGAGAGAGAGAGAGAGAGAGAGAGAGAGGGAGGGAGGGAGGGAGGAAGGGAGGGAGAGGGAGAGGGGATTCAGGACACTACAACAGGATCTCTGAAGCAGGTAGACATTCTGTTGGTATGGGAATGAGGGTACATGTACAGTACATGTCTAACTACAGTATTAATGTCTTTTGGGTACAAATAAGAAGGCAATGAATTACTTATTCTGCTTTGAATGCAGCTTAGTGGTGGGGCCCCAGCTGCATAGCTCCTTGTGCTAAAGGAAAGCAGAAAATACTCTAATAATCTCCTTTGCCTCTGTTTCATTTTCTCAGATGGGTTTTTCACAATGGAGAACCAAAGCAGAACTTTCTTCCCTTTTCTGGTACTCTGCTTGCCAGGGCTGGGGCCAACTTTACACAGCCTTCACTATGGGCTGGGTAGGTTCTGACTCCAGAAATTTCAATTGCAGAAAGTATCCAGAGAGGCCATCTAGCAGAGTCATTACTTTGGATTAAGGCTTCATGTAGTAATGAACTCAAAATATTCTCCCTATCACTTGATCTACCTTCCCAAACATACATATATACCACTGATATATATATATATATACACATACAAACATATATATGTGCGCGTGTGTGTATATATATATACCATATGATGAATGATATACTCTCCAGAGAATGCAATTACAGGAAGTGTAAGTATATCAAGGAGGAGACAGATATGCTTGGCCAATTTTCAACTGTCTGTAGCACGAATCTTAGAAGGTCTTATTAATTAAAAACAAACCTGATGCCAGGTATTGGGGTGAAAGCTGGAAGATCAGAGAAGCAGAACAAGCCACAGCTTCCTTACCTCACCAGTTCCTCAGCTGATCCTGCTTCCTCAGACTGGAAGCCTCTGAGTCCTCATCTGATTGGGTCTCAGCTGAACTGCTGCTCAAAAGCCTAAAAGCTTAACCAGTTCTAGTTCCTGGTCCTCAAGTCTTATATACCTTTCTTCTTTCTGCCATCACTTCCTGGGATTAAAGGTGTGTGTCACCATGCCTGGCTGTTTCCAGTGTGGCCTTGAACTCACAGAGATCCGGATGGATCTCTGCCTCCAGAATGCTAGGATTAAAGGCGTGTGTGCCACCATTTTCTGGCCTCTATGTCTATCTAGTGGCTGTTCAGTTCTCTGACCTCAGATAAGTTTATTAGGGTGCACAATATTCTGGGGAACACAATATCACCACAACTGTCAGTTTAAGATCATAGTAACAACAACAAAGGGAACTTGTGCTGATTCTTTGTGATCTCTGCTCATCCTCCCTATAAGACTATTGATCCTGTCTTAGAAGACGAGGAACCCAAGTTGCCAAGTTAACAAGGGTAGTAAGTGACTAATGTAAGCCTGCACATTCAGTCTCTGGTGCTTCTTTGGAGAGAGGCCCAACTCTGGTGTTTCTCTTTCATGCCTGTCTTTGAA